CCAAAGGCTGGTAAATTTGTATCTGGTATGCAAAGAATGCAAAACAAAGAATGGTAAATTCTGATTAATCACTAGCCAGTAGGGATGATAGGAGACCAACACTTTTGGGCATTGTAGGGGGAGAGCCGTGTTAGTGTATGGTGGTAAAAAAAATCAGGAGACTAACAGCATCTTTTCTGACTAATGCATTTTATTGGAGGCCATTAACTCTCATGACATGCAGATCGCATAAGACTCATGTCTCTTGGTAAAATGCTTTCAAACACTTCAGAAGAGCATCAGGTTGGGGAGGTGTCCTTTCTATATTGGTACATGCAGCCTTGCACCATACTGGGAACCAGTCCTATGGAACGAAGGGGCTTCTGATGCTAAGAAGTCAGCAATGGGTCTGTGCTGTTGATTTCCTCCTGAATGATAATTGCAGCTCCTTACATGTAGCAACTCGCAGTGGACAGAAGCATCTTGAAAGGAGCAAGCAATCCAATTAAGCACCTCCCTTTTGTATCAGAATCATTTCCTGCTACAATTGTATGAACTCAGCCAGCCTGAATCTGCCTCAGTTTATCAAGACAGATTTTTTATTTCAGAACTAGGTTCCCTGTTTCTCTGCCATTAAATAATAGAAAATTAGCCATCATTGCTCGGTGATAAAGAAGAACAAACAGAAAGGTCATAAGTAAAACTAGAATATATCGTTCCCCACATCCTTGTACATGGCAAGAACATGATCTGGCCACACCCTTTCTCTTCTGTCTCTCAGCCCAAGTTAAGTATTANTGGGCGCTCCGTCACTGGAGATTTTTAAGAACAGGCTAGACAGTCACCTGTCTGAGATGGCATAGGTTGTCCTGCTTGAGCAGGGGGCTGGACTGGAAGACCTCCAAGGTCCCTTCCAGCTCTATTCTATTCTATTCTTTAGCGCATCTTGGTCACAAGGGTATTTTTGTGCTAGGAAAACCAGGAAAAGTCTAACAGAAAAGTCAGCCCCATTTCCCATGAATTCAGCGGATGGGAGAGAAAGAAGCCACTGGAGGCATCCCGATAGGAATGCTCCACTTCTTTGTAGCAAAAACCCAACAATGAAACAGAACCATAAATTAGCCAAATGTGTTGTGCGAACCTGAGCATAATTAATTGGACAAGCTACAATTCAGTTAACCAAGTTAAGTTCCACGACCCGAGATTTAGTGGACGATAGAGCCTGGTTAGGTGGTATCTAGCGTCGGGGTGATCGAAGTTCTCAAGCTAGAGGAGTTACCTTCCCAGGAGGTATTATAACGAATGCTTAATACATTTCAAGACGAGGATAATAAACTTATTCACCTGGAAATTAAGCCCAGAGGCTTTCGGTGAAACAGATGTCCGATAAACACTCTATTCCTAGACTATTTATTCCAAAGAAAGACCCACGAAGGCCATTCCTTCACTCGTGATTTATAGGGTTATCCACCCATCCCAGGGCCGGCATAATAATGAAGGCAGGCTTCTGTGGCCACACCGGTAGTCAGGGCGATGCTGTAAATCACTTCTAAGAAAATGCCTCCAGGCCTATTTTCCAATCCTAAACATCCTTAGTGTTCATGGGGTGAAGACACTTCAGATTGCGCTTTCAGTTCAAGCAACAGTATCTGGGCTGAATTATTGAGTCGATGAGCAGAAATGAGTTTCAAGCTGATCTCTAAAGCAGTGTTTCTCAACCTGGGCAACTTTAAGAGGGATGGACTTCAACTCCCAGAAGCTGGCTGGGGAATTCTGGGAGTTGAAGTCCATCCCTCTTAAAGTTGCCCAGGTTGAGAAACACTGCTCTAAAGGGTAGCAAGCAGCAATCTGGGTGACATCACCGCCGGTGCTCCCCATTCTGCATCTTACCCGGCCCTCGTTTACTTAAGGGTCTGAAAAGAACGGAGCGTCCCTGAATTAGTTGACTGGCGAGAAAACTCGATCCCCAAGTTCAGCCTGGGGAGGTTCAAAGGGATCTTACGACGGGTGGCCCCCCAGCAGAGCGAGTCTCCGGGGTCTGCGCGGACTTTGGGTCAGGCCAAACCCAAAGCCTCTGAAGGAGCATCCAAGTCTGCCTGCGGAACACGCAGACGCCCCCACGCGTGAGACCAGACCAGGTCCTAATCCCACCCGGGGGCCGGGAAAGCGGGGTGGGGGGGAAAGCACTCGAACTGGCCCGAAGCCCGAGAACGGCTTAATTTTGTTCTGCTGTGGCTCTCAGTCCCAAAACAGGCTTTCTAGGCGAGGCAAAGTCTCTTTGGTTCGGATAAGGCGGTTCCTATTGGGGGTGTGTGTGTGTGGGGGGTGAGCCCAGAGATAGCAAGGGGAGACCAGCTGAACGTCAGAGCGCCTTTCTGCTGCTAATTAAAGCGGGCTCCTTCCCTCCTCCGGTAGCCTTGCGCAGGGAGGGGGGTGTGTGTCTCTCTCCCCGAGCCTGTCAAAGAAATTCAAAACGGGAAGGAGGGGGGGGGG